AGGGGGGGGGACCGCCCGCCGGGCCCCGGGGTGCAGCAGCCGCCGTACCGGGGGTGTGCCGTGGGGGGTGTCGTCCCTGAGCTCCCCCGGCCGCTGCAGGGCCTCAGGTCCGCGGCTTCGGGTTCTCTTCGGTTCTGCCTCAGACTACAGCCGTCCGCGACTGCCTGAAGGAGGGTGTGGGGAGGGGGGGGTCGGTCTCTTCTCCCCAGTAACAGGTCATGGGACAAGGGGAAATGGCCCCAAGTTGCACCAGGGGAGGTTTAGAGTGGATATTAGGAAAAAAATTCTTCACAGAAAGGGTTGTCAAGCACTGGCACCTGTCCCCAGGGATGTGGTGGAGTCGCCGTCCCTGGAGGTATTTAAAAGATGGGCAGACGTGGTGCTGAGGGACGTGGGTTAGTGGTGGATTTGGCAGTGTTGGGTTGATGGTTGGACTCGATGATCTTGAAGGTCCTTTCCAACTGAGACAGTTCTATGATTCCACCACTTCCCCTTTTCACAGGTGACTCCATGGAAGAACTCTTGCGGTGGACGTGTGGTCATTCACACATGGTCCCCCCTCCACGGTCGAGGACTATGTCCAGCGCCTCTTCTGCTGGAACAGCCTTGTGGGAACCAGCTGAAGGTGATCATCGCCCCACGCTGTGCCCACTACATACTTACCAGGGTTATAACCTGTCCCACCCACGCTGCAGGAGGGGCCGAGAGGACACTTGAAACTGGCGCAGAGTTCAAAGGCTGACAAGTCAATATTAAAACATGAGAAGGCGTTTCCAGCCCTTGTAAACATGTTGACACCTGCTAATGGTGTACTCAAATATTACAGTATGAAAGGCTACCAAGGAATTACCCTAATCATCAGCACATGTCAAAAAAAAATAAAATAAAGCAATGCCTCATTTATGCCTGCCCATTAAAGCAGGGTGGGAGAGGAGCGAGCAGGCTGCATCATAAAGCACGTACAGCGGGGGCAGAGTAAGAGTTATTAAGGCAATCATAAATCCATCCTCTAATGCTCGAGGGTTTGATGTTGCAAACTTAATAACCTTCATTTGGCATGTCTTTATATGTAGTTTCCTGCAACTATATGTAACGAGGGGAAAAAGTGTTTTCTCTTTTGTATAGATATAGCAAGACTCATTAATTGCCAGAGCGATATCTACCATTTCAGTCAAAAAAAAAACCCCACAGTACACAGCAAATAGCCCAAATAAGCCGTTACCAGCTATCTGAAGAGAACGGAAAGTGCTCGTTGGTTAGCACTGTGGGCTGGCACCAGCTGGAAGATGCCCTTGTTTGTTCCTTCCTTCTCTCCCTCCTCCAGCCATGGAAAATCTCCTGCTCAATGCGGCATCAGTGGATGGAGGTCCAAATGGGTTTGGGGGCTGTGCACAGGGGTTTCTGGTCTGGCAAGAGGTAGCCTGGCCAGGCACATTGTGTATTTTCAGCTCAGTGTTGCTGCCTTGGAGAAGGGATGGTTCTTCATCACATTCTTTGAAAAGTTCATATCCTGTTAGTAAGTTTGCTCGCTCCCAAAGGTTCTCTGAGGCGTGCAAGCCTCAGTGAGAAAACAGTAAATTCAGCAAAACCCCCAAACAACCAAATGCTTTTTTTTGTTTGGTTGGTTGCGAGAAATAAAAAGAAACTCTTCACCATCCTACAGCCCTTAGGCTTGTCACATCTGACGCTGAAAACAGTAACAGTGGCAGGAACTCACGAAAGTCACCAGAATACTGTAAAGTGAAGCATGCTGGTACCTTACAGATAGAGTGGCTATCAAAATGCTGTACAGTCATGAAAGCTGCTTTGGTCTTTTATGACTACTGATAGCGCCTTGTACTTATAAACTTCAGCTGAGATTTTCAGTCATTTTGAGTATGTTAGTAAGCTGTTTATGAGGTAGGTAAACATTGCTCAGAGGACTTCTCTTACATACTTGGTTTCTATTTGCTTTTCCTGATCTTTTTACTGTCTGATCTTCCTGTTCCACAGGCTTCGTCCTTCTACCCTCCTTTTTTTTTTTTTTTTTCTTTTTTTCAGTTCCAGTCCCCCTCTCATCTTCATTTATTGTCTGGAAGGAAACAGCTACATTGGAATCCACAATAACTACTGAAAAGAAGGCTCAGAAATCCATGTTCCAGGAATCCCGATGTTCATGAGCGCGCTAAATGAATGTGGTAAGCTATTCCCCATCAAGCTTTTTTTATCAAGTTCTCTGGCTGGTGCTGTGCTCACTCTTGTGGGTCACGCACCCACACCTGCACTGCCCAATGGTTCCTTCCACAATCCCGCAAAGGTGCAAGTTGAGCACCTCCTATTCATGCTGCTCATTTAGGGCTGGAATATCCCAAATTGCATAGTTTAGGGCCCCATGTTGACCAAAGGAACAAAAATAAGTGTTTTTACCACTATCTGAGAGAAGACGGCCTGATGATTTTAAAGTTTTTTTATTTCTAAATTCATGTTAATTTTAGGATGTTAAAAAAAGGATTTTAAAAATTATCAGCCATGGAATATGTTCAAATCACCAAAGAAATAACAACTGATATTTGTTGTTGTTTAAATCAGCTGAAACTGTAAATGCTATGCATTTTTCAGTCAAAGCTAGTACCTTACAGAAGCTGTTGGAAACATTGTGGGCATCTGCTTGTCCTCCACGGTTACTGAAAAATGGGTGAATAACAGAAATCCGATGCAAACAAATATAAAAGATTTCCTTCACAAGAATATTTGGAACGAGTCCAGAAAGAAATAACTCTGAACATGGCTGCTGGAGACTGCTCACGGTGCATTAGGAAAAATTGCTTTATTCCAAATAAACTACCTCTTGCTTTCCCAGCATTATTGTGGAAGAATAAACATGGTTACTGATAGTCTGTAAGTTTGGCTGGCAATCAACATGCCACAGGATGAATGCAAAAATCAAATTCCATTTGACAGGTTAATACAGATTTTCCTTCCACATATGCAGAGCTGCTACATAAATAGATATTAAAGCAGCTCTAGTTGATAAAATATTGAGAGCTTTAATTTGGTTCAATATCACAAAATATTTTATATGATTTGAATGCAGAAATCATGGGAGAAGTTTAGGAAGAAACACTCTTGTGTTAATTCTAATATACCACAAAAAGATTTGGTGGGCATTTTGCTGCTTGGGTATGTAATGGATCCCCCAAAATGCAGAAACGCAAAAATAGAACAGAAGAAGAAAAAAAGTTAGTGTTTTCCAGTTTCAGGGTTTGGCATGCGAGAAGTTAGGATTTGTTAAAATAGAAGTTAGTTTGACAGAGATTTTCTGCAGTATCTGAGACTATTCAGAAACCTTAAATCACTTGATTATATGGTACTGTATGACAGTTGGTAACAGTAATTACAGTAGTATGCCGGCAATTTTCAACTTGGTCTTTTTTAATCTTTGTTACCTGTGGATCTCACCTCTAGCATCTTTTTGTATACTAAAAAAAACCCAAACCCAACCTTTCCAGAAATAGGAAAAACTAAGGCTTTCCTTCCCCTACACCTACAGTTGGCTTTACAAAAGAAGCCGTATTCGCTATTGCTGAAATCTAGAGCAAAAAAATTTTTTTTTAAATAGTCAGCCACCATTATCTCACAGCATACAGTGATAAACTAAGCTTAGACACAGGCTTTGCTGAACTATTAATGGACAATAAATTGAGGCAGAACTGAACAATTTTATATTTTTTTTTCTGCATACTGCTGCACAGTTAACACATTTATTTATACTTGGTGAGTTAATTTGCTCAAAGTACTTAAGTGTTTGCACGAGTAAGAACAACTTCTACTGTTCACAGTCCTCAAGAGACTGTGTCTTGGATTAAGAGCATTGTCCTCAAATGTCCTAAAACAATCAGTCTCTCAGCCAAACAGCCTTTTACAAGCGACTGTGCCCGTGATTAGTGTCATTTTGATTAATAACGGTAAAGAGACACTTAGGTGGTTAGCAGCTTTCAAATAGCATTTTGCATTCACTTCACTGGGTAAGT